GTCATGTCTTCATGTTGTTGTACATTGCCTCTTAAATTCCAGCATGATCGCCTTTAGAGTCATAGTATTAGAATTAGACTAAGGATATAATTTATGTTAGTAGGATAGGGCTTGTTATGTTTTTGATAAATTTTGTTTTATGCTTTGAATTTCAGCATGGTGAATACTAGGAGAAGAGCATCGTATAATGTGGAGCGAGAGGCTCCAGATGAGTTTTCTTCTAGGCATCCAGCCCCAGCTCGACAACGAAGGGGTAGACTTGCTAGAAATGTAACTAATCAAGAGGAAGGAGTTCAGGTTAAATGAGGAATATATAGCTAGAAATCCCTTGGAAGTAAACATATTGATGACCGGACTTCAGCAGGACATAGCTGCTATGAATAACATGTTGATGCAGCAACAACAGTCCTTTCAGGCCCAGCAATAGCAACAGGAGATGGCTCCTCCCATACCTGATCCGATAGCACAGACATTTCAGCCGGCTCCACCTTTGAGGGTCACTAATGACACTCTTTATGATAGATTTATCTTGTATAAGCCACCCAAGTTTACAGGAATTGAAGATGCTTATTCCTTTTTAGCCAGAATCAGGGAGTTCTATGTTGACTTGAGCTGCGATGATGAGAGGTCCATTGTATTTGCGGGCCGTAGAATGGAAGATGTGACTGAAATATGGTTTAGAGACTATATTCTGCCTTTCGTTATCAGATGTCTTGGCAGCAGTTTTCTACTCTTTTCATGAATTGCTTTATACTAAGGGACTAGGAGAGCCAAAATGAGAGAATTTGAGTCCTTGGTTCAGGTAGATACGTCTGTTGATGAGTATGCCACTAGATTTAGAGTTAAGTAGATATGCTTTAGGATCTATACCAGATGAATGCACTAAGATATATAGGTTTATCAGTGGGCTGAATGCAATATATGCTACGCTATTTTCGTAGAGGGAGCTAGATTTTAGTGTTGTGATTGATTCAGCTAGGCAGATGGAGACCACGTACATTTTTGATAGGGTGATTGTAGGTAGAAGATGTAATAGAACTGCGGCTCCACTGGGGAATCTTGGTGTGTCAGGGATGAGCGAATCTTTTATTATGGGTACATAGTCTCTGGGTTTTCAATTTCAGGGAAGAGGAAACCTTGGCAGGAAGAAAGATAAGAAGAAACTTGGGCCGAGAAGGGGTATTTATACTGGTGGTTCTAGCAGTGGGTACAGTTCTAGTAGTAGCAAATCTAGTGGGACTGTTTGTCATAGATGTGGTAAAGTTCATAAAGGAGGAAGTACTTTTGATGCTAACGCTTGCTTCAGATGTCACCAGACTTAGCATTATGCTAGAGACTGCCCACTTTCTCAGCCACGGCATATGCCATCCCAGTCTTCTATGGTAGTGTGTCTAGACCCCCTTCTGCCACACCTTCTGCATCAGGTTCGAGATTTGCAAGCCAGTGAGGTCATGGTTCTCTTGGTAGAGGCAGAGGCCAGAGTTCTGGACAAACTTCACAAGTTGCAAAAGGACAACCTCGACTTTTCCACTTGACCTAAGGGGATGCTCAAGCATCCAATGGTGTGGTGGCAGGTATTCTCACTATTTGTTCCTTTGAGGTGCGAGTTTTATTTGATCCAGGTGCCACCCATTCATTTACATCTCCTGGGTTTGCCACTAAATAGATAGAGAGCCAGATCAGTTAGACTTTCCTTTGTTGATATCTACGCCTTTAAGTGAACCCGTTTACATTAATACAGTCATTTTGGACTGCCCTATTGTTCTTGAAGGCATAGACTTACCTGCGAATTTAATTATCTTGGATGTGATTGACTTTGATGTTATTCTGGGTATGGATGGGTTGTCAATGTATGATGCAGAGGTTCACTGTAAAAAGAAAGAAATTGTTTTTAATCTGCTAAATGGTGAGAAGCTTATTTACAGGGTGGATAAAAACATAGCTCCTTATAATTTGATTTCTGCAATGAGCGCTAGGAAGATGCTGAAAAGAGGTTGTCGAGGGTATCTAGCACTAGTAAAGGACACTACGGTGAAAACCCATAAAGTTGAAGAGTTGCCAATTGTAAATGAATTCTTAGATGTGTTTCCAGAGGAATTACCCAGTCTTCCTCCAGATCGAGAAATTGAATTCTGCATTGATCTAGTTCCTGGCATAAAGCCTATATCTATGCCACCTTATAGGATGGCACCTGTAGAATTAAAAGAGCTTAAGGAGCAGTTGCAGGAATTGCTAGATAAAGGCTTTATTCGACCAAGCACTTCACCTTGGGGTGCTCCAGTCCTTTTTGTGAAGAAGAAAGATGGCTCTCTCCGCCTATGCATTGATTATAGGCAGTTGAACAAGACGACAATGAAAAACAAGTATCTGCTTCATAGGATTGATGATCTATTCGACCAGTTGTAAAGAGCTACTTATTTTTCAAAAATCGACCTTAGATCTAGTTATCATCAACTGAAGATTAGAGAGCAAGACATTCCTAGAGCAGCTTTCAGAACTAGATATGGTCATTGTGAATTCCTGGTTATGTCCTTTGGACTCAATAATGCTCCAGCGACTTTTATGGATCTGATGAAATTGTGTGTTCAAGCGTTACTTGGACCAGTTTGTGATCGTGTTCATAGATGATATACTAGTTTATTCTAGAACTAAAGCAGAACACATACACCATCTGAGGATTGTGCTACAAACTCTGAGGGAGCATCGATTATACGCCAAGTTTGAAGTATTTTTTTTTATCCGAGAGATCTAAATTTGAGACAGAGGCACTGGATGGAGTTCCCTAAGGATTATGATGTACCATTCAGTATCATGCTGGGAAAGCTAATGTAGTAGTCGATGCTCTAAGTAAAAAATTCTTAGGAAGCTTAACTCACATTTCAGTGGAAAGAAGACCGTTAATTCAGGAATTGAATGAAATGCTTGATGAAGGCCTTGAACTGGAAATGCCTACTTTAGATTGTTTGTTGGCCCATTTCAGAATTACACCAATGTTGTTTGACAGAATCAAAGCTGCAAAAGATAGAGACCCGCAATTACAAAGAATTGTGCAAGAAGTAACTACTGGTGGGTTAGGGATCTTTGTGATAGATGATGATGGGGTACTCAAAAATGGTAGTCGCCTCTTTGTTTCCGATGTTGATAACCTTAGAAAGGAGATCTTAGATGAAGCCCACTATGCCGCTTATAACATGCATCCGGGTACTACTAAAATGTACCGGGATTTAAAGGAAAATTATTGGTGCGCAGAATGAAGAAAGATGTGGTAGAATTTGTGTCCAAATGTCTTACTTGTCAACAAGTAAAAGCAAAGCATCAAAGACCTTTTGAGTTGCTGCAACATCTACCGATACCAGAATGAAAATGGGAAAAAAATTACCATGGACTTTGTAATGGGGCTACCAAAAACACCCGGACGCTATGATTCGGTTTGGGTGATAGTGGACCAACTTACCAAGACAACTCATTTTCTACCAGTAAGATCCTTTTATAATGCTGACAGGTTGGCGAGGTTGTCCATAAAAGAGATAGTACGTCTTCATGGGATTCCAGTATCTATCATTTCTAACAGGGGAACACAGTTCACTTCTACATTCTAGCAGTCATTGCAGAGATCTTTGGGCACTCGGCTGGACTTCAGTATGACTTTCCATACATAGACTGATGTGAAAGGACTATTCAAACTTTGAAGGACATGCTTTGGATGTGTGTACGACCTTAAGCTTACCTGGATCCTAGTGCCGATCCGGCCCAAGGAAGCGGGTCGTGACACCTATGGACCTTTCCATCACAAGTCCTTGTACGATTAAACCTATATTTTTAACCATCTTATCATACTAGCCCACTAAAGGTGCATAAGCTCATTACTTAAGTTATCACATAAAAACAAATTGGGCTCCACATATATATTCTAAGCTCATTATACAAGTTATCACATAAATACAATTTGGGCTCCACATTTATACTCTTAAACTGTATTTACTCAGTCTATTTTTATAAACTAAAATAGCCCACAATTAATAGCAGCTCATATTAAAATTTCTATCACAAATAACATGAAAGAAAATTTTTTTTTCCAAGAAAAACAACCATAAAAGTAAATTTTTTTTACCTTGGAGAAGGGGATACAGACCTAAATTTTTTGTCAAATCACATATACACTTACCACTAGGTTATCCTTGGTATGCATTATAATAACTACTTATATTTAATATATAATATATAATATATAATATTTATCATACAAATTCAAAACGTAAAAAAGCCAAGTCAAGCTAATACTCACTTAATTTACTATTGATTATTTTATTATTATTTTTTATTTTATTACTTCATAAAATGTTGTTTTATCTATTTTATGAATTCTCTTTGATTTTTAGTAATATACATTGTTCACAATATTATAATTTCTAAGAAATATATACAAATTAATAAAAAATTATATATAAAAATTAAATTATATTTATTTACAACGAGCGAAAATCAATAAGAAGAAATAACGTACAATGCACGTTCGAAAAAATTAGTGATTTTGAGAAAGAAGAAAATAATCATAGGTAAGGCTTGGCGAGAAAATTTGGTAAAATTAATAGAAAAAAAGAGAAAAATATAAATAAACATATGCATTCTTTTACTTATGACTTACTCAGAAAATTATACTTTTTTAAATAGAAGCATCCTACATTCCACTGATTCAAAATTAAAAATGTACAAATTATTTTTTGAAAATGGAGAGACTCGTTTATTTATTTGGTTGTAATTTGAGAACTGTTTATATTTTTCTCTAAAAATTTTAGCATATTTTCCAATGTCTGAAAAGAAGAAAGAAAATAATTAACCAAAAAGTGTTTTGAAAAACTAAAATACTGTTCCGTAACAGCTAACAAACAACTTAATTAGCCTCATGACAACTGAACAACAACTGAATACAACTAAATAAAAAATTAAAGTAGTTTCATTACAACTAAACAAACAACTAAATTAGTTTTATTACAACCTTATTTACTTGAAAGAAACGTCAATGTTATGTTATGTTAGAAAAAAATTCGAAAAATCTGGGCTGGGGTGTGGCATAGGCGGGGTCATTTTCGTCATTTCATTGCGAAATCCAGAACCGAAGGACATTTATAATCAGAGGGTCCTGCAAAGGAAACGGCGGAAAAGAATCGTTAGACTTAACAGTTAAAAGGTTAGTACGTCCTCTTTACCAATCTCCTTTTTTTTTTTTTTTTTTTTTAACAGTTTAAAAGGTTTAGTTACGTCCTCGTTTACCAATCTCTTTTTTTTTTTTTTTTTTTGAATTTTATATTATATTTTTTTGAAATTAATTTGTCTTTCATGAGCTGTTTTCGTTGATATTCTCTGATCTAACCGCTGTTTTGGTGCCTTTTTTTTTTTTTTTTTTTTGAATTTTATATATATTTTTTTTGAAATTAATTTTGTCATGAGACTGTTTTCGTTGATATTCTCTGATCTAACCGCTGTTTGGTGTGCGAGAAATTAGAGGAAAACGGACCCAAAAAAGAAAAACGAAATTTTGAATTTCATGTTCTTGATGCTATTTCTTCTGAAAACCCTAAAAAATTAAAGAAAAAAAAGAATTCTTTTGGATTTGATGATCGCATAAGCTTGAACTTTAATAGCTAGAAAAATTCATGTTACATATTGTTTGTCTTGAAGTGTATAAATTTTGTTTGGAAATTAACTTTGACTGGGTATGCTCTGTAGCTGGGATTGGGGAAGAGATGAGAAATTATTTGACTTAGTCAGCCTTTTTCTCTTTTCATATTATTCTGTGGATTTTGCTTTCCATATCAAGAGTGAGAGATTAGAGTTGGAAAGGGTTATTTTGTTTCTGGGCTTTGAACATCCTGAATTTATAGAGAAAGCAACCTGAGACTTCAATTTGAAATGTGCTGTTTCTTGATGATTTGAATTTTGGCTGGATAGTGAATCCTGATAATCAATCAGAGATGACCTGAATGTTAATGAAACTTTTGCAATTTGAATTGAATTATATTATTTCTAAGGGGTGCAAGCTTAGGGCTAGGTTCTATATCTACGGAAATGGCAAAGTTCTAAGTAGGATGGTTAGAGTTTCTTTGCAAATGGGGGATGTTTCATGGCTAGACCATTGACTAGGCCAGAATCTTCTCCTACTGTTAATTAATTGGATATGAACTCATAGATTCATTAAATGTATTTTGAAATCATGGAGAAGAAAGAAGAAATAAGTACTTTTTGAGATTCGATTTTATAATATGTGAGCTGATTCTTGTTAAACAAATTGTGCTATAATTGCAATTTCAAATACTGCCTGTGAAGTATTTTCTGAAAGTTTTTGCTGGTGTTGGTTATGTGCAATGGTCCAATTTTTTATAAGGATGCTAGAAACGGGGAACTATTTTTGTCTATTCAAAGTTGGAGAAACAAGATTGAGATTATTTCTCATTTCGAACATACAGATCATCAGCAGTTTTATTTATAAAACTAATTACATTCCCTTCATTGCTCTATTTGGGTTCTAAGTAGCCAGTTGTGTTGAAGTTGTCAATTTATTCCCCTCCTTTTATTAAATGAGAAAAATGAATAGAGACATCTTCTTTTGACAGCTCTAATGAGTTCATTTTGGCATATTCCATTTATGTGAATAAAAAGAAGAAGAAGAAGAATACTTCTCTTCTCTCTCTTTTTCTCTATCTCTTCTCCCAAAACCTAACAGAATTCCCATGGCTGCTGCCAGTGTCTGTGTTTTAAACCCCGGTGAGAGCCCCTCTTCCCTTTTCCTTGTCTTCTATTCCCATTTTCTTTGTTTCTTGTTTGATTTACTGTAAGTTTTAATGTAGTTTAGGAGGTTTTGTCCTCCCTCTATTCTCTTTTTGGGGTTAATTCCCTTAAAGTATCCTTTGTTAGTCTAATCTTCTCACATCTAGGATGGAGTTTTAGCTATTTCAATACTTAATGAGTGTTTAAAAGTTTTTTGTTCTCGAGGAAGGTGTGCTTTGCACAAAAATGGTTAATGCATAATACTGGCAAATCTGAAGAAGACTTGCCATGAAGCTCAAAGGAACTAGCTAATTTCACAAAGAAGGAGATCCTATAGAGTCCACAATGAGGATTCCCACGATTCTTCCGCTCTAATATAAGTTGCAATCTTACGGGATTCAAGAATAGAGGAATTATCTTTGTTAATATCTTGATTTTTGTGCTGTATCATTTTATGTTTAGTTGCTCACATGGTTGTTCATCTCCAAATGTTGGAGCTTTTTATGATTTTGCTTAATGATTTGTTTGTCATTGATGAAATCTCATTTTCTGTTCAAAAAAGTTGTGTGAAAGAGGGGGTTGGTGAATGATCATTGTTATCTCTCATTCCCAGAATTATGATGCCCCTAATCCCTTATACTGGCCCTTTTTTCGCATAATTTTCAGTCCCTGAAAACTGCACATCTCTAGGTATTTATTGTTGACTATTAGAAGATCAGTTGCCCATTTATCTTTTTGTTATCATGCTTCATTTCAATGATATAGGGAAACCTCTTATATATGAATTTTCATGCAAATGATCTTGTGATTGGTGGTGAATTCTTTTTTTTTGAACTGTGTGATTGATGCCACTTGGTTTGTCATTAGAGGAGGCTGTGCAAGCCATGGGGGGGTGGGGGGTGGTGCTCTTTCATCATCTTGGTATTTCGCATAAGTATAGAAGTTTGTAAAATTACTTAAATCTAAGAAGAGAATAATGGAAAAGTTCTCAACCCATCATAAGCATAATTGAAAATGCTAAGAAAAAATGGAGGTTTCTTGAGAGATGTATGATGATATAATGGAGGTTTCTTGCCTTGTCTGGTTATGGCAGAAATGTATTCCCCTTTATATATCTGATATTATTTTATCTTGTGATGAATTTCTCAAATGCATGTTTGTGTTCTGAATTCCAGGCCAATTTTTGAAGAATTTATGGATGCAAAAGAAGGTTGCAAGAAGGTTTCTCAAGAGCTGGCCCGGGAGTCACTTATCGGAATATCTTATTCCTTGCCAGAAAAAATTAAGAATTCAGATGCTGTGACTGAAATTCTCACTGGTGAAGACAGACCTATGGAAAATGGCAACGGAGCTGATAAGTATAGATCTGAACTGATTTCTATTTCTTACAGTCAATCTCCTGATACTGCAATATCACCCGGGGCATTAGAAAAGCATGACGATTAGCATTCATCTTTCTCTGTTATTTTCTGTGTAATGTATTGGTGAGACTAACATTTGATGAAAGGTTCTTGTAACATATTTTCCTGGTTTTCTGTTGTGGAATTACTATGATTTTACTTTTTACAACGAATGTTGGGTTACCCTGTCTGGTTCTGTATTGTTGTGTAAGTTACTATAAATGGTTTTTACTTTTTACAACTATTCATATCAATAGATAAGAAAAGTTTACATATTACATTATTGTGATTTCTTGATACTCACCTTTTCTGGTTCATCATTTGAGAAACTAATTTCTTGATTTTAAACATTTCTGTTTGATTTTAATAGTTGCAGCAATTCTCTTTATTCTAGATGTCAATGTGTTTATATAATGTATCTATATATAGATTTATATGCGGATATGGAAACACCTATGAATTTACTATAAAAGATATTGATATAATTTAAATTTACTAAATGGTAATAAATTTTATTAATAATTAAACTTATTTATGATGTCAAATAAACTTGCTTTCTAATTGTAGTATTGTGCTTCCTGATTAATAAAAACTAGGTAAAGGCTCGTGCACTGCGCGGGTTATTTAGTTATTATAGATTATATTTTGTAGTTTGTACTTGATATATAAATTATAATTTCTGTACATATATTATTTCTATATGATTTTTTTAATATCCTTTTCTTGAAGCCCACAAATAAATTCATCAGGAGATGAGAGAAAAATGAAGATCACAACATGAAAGGTAAATACAAATAAAATATATATAATTTAACATCTGATTAGAATTTGAAAATATTTGAAACTCTCTTTTTATTCTGGACAAGATACATGCTTTGATTATATAATGACAATAATAATGATAAGATAATAATGATAAGAGATAAAAGTTCTTTTTGAAATTTTAAAAATAAAAAATAAAAAATAAAAAAAACTCAAAAGAATAAAAAGAGAGAACCGATATTTTTAAAATTTTAGAAATTAGAAAAAAATTCAAAAATTTATATAAAAAAAAATAATGAATGCTTGAAGAAGACAAATAAATTGATCTTGTAGATTAAAATAAAAAAGATCTATTAGGCAATGATTTTGATTAATTTAGAAATACCTTGGGTGGATCTTGAGTTAATTTCACCAACACTTCTTTAAACATAAGCTTGTTGCTGTTCTTATTTAGGTGCATATCAACCCTACATTTTGAAAAGAACAATTTAATTTATTAAAAAAAATTAACAAATGCAGATAATTGAAAAAAAAGAATATATTGATTTACTTGGTCTGAATAACTATTCATAGAATAGAAAATAATTGGATGTCAAATAAATTCATTGAACAATTGACAATTAATTTTTTTCTTTTTCCATATATTTATCTAATTCAGAAATCTAATAAAAGGTAACATATATATACATATATACCATAAATAAGCTCTATCTCACCTAGTGAAGAATACTGGAAAGCAAAATAGAAATATAAATTAGAGAGTTGAATACTTTATACGTTTCAGGTTCAGTATATATACTAGTAGTTGACATGCACTTCACACGGGATACTTAAATTAACATAAAACTATTAAATAAATAAAATAAAATAAAATAATTTAAATTTTGCAAACTTAATAATTTATATAGTTAAAACAATTGTAAAAAAATTTTAAAAATATATTCAAGATCAAATTAAATTGTAGAAAAAAAAATACTAAATTTTTTTTATAAAAAAATAGAAAGATGAAAGGAAAAAACATCTAGAATTTTATTTTTATTTATACTTTAGTTGAATAATTATTATTATCAAAAAATTTTATAATTAAATAAAAAAATGAGAAAATGAAAGGAAAGAAACACTAGGAATTTTATTTTTAATTTTTTACTTTAGTTGAAAATTATTATTATCAAAAAATTTTATAATTAAATTTATTTAAAATCTCAAAAATATAATGATTTTTTCAAAATTTTTTAAAAAGGAATATCAATAAAGAAGAATCTTTGAAATATTTTTATAATTTTTAAAAAGGATATACAATAAAAGAAGAATTCTTGAAATATTTTTATTCAATATTTTTATATAAATTTTAATTATGAAAATCTATATTTTTATTCATGTATTTATTTATGTATTATCTCGTTACTTTAATTAATAATTCTTTACTACTCACATGATGTTTAAGATTTAATTATTATTAAATTAATAATAAATAAATAAATAAAACATCAATTAAACTATGAAACATTATAATAATATTTTTTGTTAACGTTTTAATAAAAATCCAAATTAAATTAATTTGTTTTCACAATATTTTAAATTAAATTTGATGTGAGAGTATTGATTAGGATTTAATTAAAAATGTATTAGAGTCATATTTAAACACTATAAATTGATTAGGATTTAATTAATAGAATGTGTTAGACTCATATTTAAACACTATAACTGTATTAGAGTTTGAATAAGAGAAAAATTCATAAAAAAATGCAAATAATTTTTATTATTTAACTATCAAATATTAGTAATTAATAATAGATATGCAACAATAACAAAGTCAAAAAGCAAGTAGGAAATACAAAAGTCATCTATAATTAGTTCTACAAGCACATGACAAAATATAAATCTAGAATAAAAGCGGAATCTTATATTTGATATGCTCGTGCAACCATTGACTCCTTTGTCCTCCTTTAAAACAACTCCTGTTTCATTAATATAGCTTGTTAGTTTCATTTACCCTGAAAATATAATCCAATTAAAATACAAACTCAAATTTCTGATCATTTAATATTTAATTAAAATAAAAATAATTGTCTTTGATATTAATTACTTAGTGACCAATCTAGTAAAATTTCTTCAAGTCTATCACAATCATCATCATACCCAAAATTGAGGTTTGAATGTGGTGAACCATGTATCTAATTAGATGAATTAAAAGAACTAACTAAATTAATTAATTGATTTACCTCCCTGAGCTTGAATAATAATCCGATTGACTCACTAACCAAGTAGCAGGAAAATCAAGAGAAAAAAATATATGCTATACTGCTACTGCTTTGCAAATAGGGAAAAAAAAATAAGGTATCTAAGTTTTGGCTTAATTAACATTTAAGAACTTCTATTTTCAAAAGACAATTACGAAGTCCTTAAATTTTTATCCCATGTATAGCTTGTCCTTCCATCTAAAACTACACCCTTTTTTGTTAGTCTTAGTTGACTTAAACGAGTCAAACGAGAGAGAAAAAAAATTAAATCCCAAAAAACCCAAGAACACCTTAAACTTCAAGTTCGTTCCATCCTTCTTCCCCGTTTTATCAACTGAGTCGATGGAGTTCAACTGGTTACCGACCAATTTTCCTGTTCAAATTCGTTACCGGTGGAAGCCGATTCTTTCTTTTCCAGTTCGTGTATAGGAAGTTTGCACCAACGTGATATACTACGAGAGGAAGTTTGTTGTCGGCATCAGAGAAAGAGTGGAGCACTGGCTGTGGAAGATAAATCTGCAAATTTGACTTTATCTTCATCAGAATCATATACGAAAATTGATAAATCTGCAGACCGAATAGCAGCAAAGAGGGGGGAAAATAATTAAGATAGGTTCTTGCTGCTATTTGCTTTGGGAATGCTAATATACATGAGGGCTACATCAAACATCATACATGATTTATGCGATGAGGTTTTCAACTATTGGGAGCCTCTTCATTATCTTCTCTACAGGGGTGGCTTCCAAACATGGGAATATAGGTACTCCTTTATTTGTACAATTGAGTCATCTACTTTTCCTTTATTGCTTGCAGTTTTCAATACTGTTTTTGTGTTCAAATTATTTGTTTGTATAACCCTCTTGTTGTTTTATGCAAACAAATAATTTGAACAACAAAAGTCTTATAATGTTTTCAATACTTTAATTTACTTAAAGTCTTATTGGATTTGGTTTTGTACTTATACTGTTTGATGCATTTTAGAGCTTAAATTTAATCAATATTCAAACATGTTGGGTTTAATTTTGGTACTGGTTATTGGGTAAAGATGAAGTTCCAGTCAGCTAAAACAGAATAATTAATTCTGTTGTGTAGATAGAATTACTGAACGTAACTTTAGGAGTGTATTCTTATCATTAACGTGTATATATATACACTACTTGTATATTGTATTATTGATTCAATATAATTACGTGTATATATTATACACTACTTGTATATTGTATTTATTGATTCAAATATAATTAAAAACCCTTTTCTTATATGGTATCAGAGCTTTCTGCTCTCTAAAGCTATTTAGATCTATTTTCTGTTCAATTTCTTTTATTCCTTATGGGTGATGAAACCTCCAAAACTCCTTTCTCCTTCCAGTTAACCCCTGCAATCACATCTTCTTTGGTACCCCTGTGGATACCCCACTGCTGTGTTTTGAATTTAATACAGCCAACCATACTTGGATGTCGATAATTCTGCGGCTTTCAAGCATCCCTTAAATTAACTCCTTTCATATTATCAAATCATGGAATACCACAGTGGTATTTCCTGCTTGTCGGTTATGATTGTTTGAAGTTTATTGAATCTGCTATACCAGCTAATTTGGCTAATGTGATCCTTTTTGGTTTGCGTCAAGGATCAGCTCTATGGCCAGTGCCACTAAAGTTTTTTTGGGGGCATCTCTTTTCACTGATCTTAGTTTCGTTTGTTATTTGGTGACAAGACATTTTTGAATGTGTGGCGAAACTTCGGAGAACGTAATGCAAAACGTCTTCAAGCTCGGAATTATGAGGCTTTTGCGAGAGTCCTTATTTAATGGCGAAGTTTGGGGCATTTCACCGTACTGAATTTTTTCAGCGAATCAGGTTATAGTTGCTACTTATTAGCGTCAGTAGGTGTTGACTATTTCTATGGGGAAGTCTTGCTTCACGTTTCTTTCATGCTTACCGAGTGAATACAAAGAAGTATCTGCTTGCGCTCAGAGCTCGGGAAAGTGAAGTTTCATTTTGATGAACTGCACGATAAGACTTACTGACTTTTGAAAGTCAGTTGTCTCGCTCACCTGCTTTCTTGTCATAAGCTCCAACGGACTGTTAATGCTGTTCAAAATTCGATTCAATACTAATACTTCAAGGCTGGTGGATAGGTCATTTGGTCTTGTAATCGAAAATTTCTTCTAAATTCAAAGGGCAAAGTGACTTTGTCAATTCTTGATCGCCTAGGACAACACAACAAAAACAGTGTTATAAAACTGAAGAGAAATTACTTCCATGGGATGTTTGAGG